AGCCTCCAGTATGGATTGAGGCTCAGTGTCAAGAAGACAAAGATTCTCACCACTGGGCTAATTGGCAACATCAGGATGGATGATAAAGAGATTGAGATTGTTCACAGCTTTAGTTTGCTTGGCTCCACAGTCAACACTCTTAGCACCAGTAGCCAGGAAATGAAAAGGCACACTGCCATGGGAAAGTCTGCTTTTAGGGACCTCTCCAAAGTGTTGAAGAGCAATGGTGTCTCTCTGGAGACTAAGGTGCGTCTAATACAGGCCATGGTCTTTGCAATCACTTTTTATGCATCAGAGAGTTGGACAATGACCAAGGACGATAGAAGGAGAATTGATGCCTTTGAGCTTTGGTGCTGGAGAACAGTATTGAGAGTACCATGGACTGCTAGGAAAACAAACAGATTCATCCTGGAAAAAGTTAAATCTGGTGTTCCTTGGAGGCAAGGATTATGAGGCTCTGCCTAACATACTTTGGACATGTCGTAAGGAGAGACCTGTCCTTGGAGAGGGACATCATGATTCGGAGGGTGGAAGGACAACGCAAGAGGGGAAGACCCTCCATGAGATAGACTGATTCAGTAACTGGGGTAATCGGGTTGGGAGTGTCAGAGACAGTGCGATTGGCACAGGACAAAGCAAAGTTTAGGGCTGTTGTACATAGGGTCGCTATGAGTCACAAGCAACTCGATGGCACATAACAACAACAACTGACATGTAAGTACCAACTCACTGTTTTTGAGGCTATGCCGATTCATGTCAACCTTTCACCAGGCTTTGAGGAAATTTCCCATATTTCTTCATTAAGAAGCTGACAAATTCAAACTTCCAATCTTTCAGTTACAAGTACAACATGTTATGCTCTGTATTACTAGAACTCTGTTATATAAGTACATTGGTTTTTTTTTAAAATTGACTCAGAACTGACTCATTGTTGACTCTCCAGTGGGCTTTTAGAGGCAATAAAATACATGGGAGATTGACCAGCTTTTTTAATCCATGCATCAACTGATGGATTAGAACAGTTTGCCTTTGTTGTGATAGCACACTTCCTTGCCATTCAGCCACAAGAGCTCCTTTCGATAGGTATATGCATATAAGTGGATCTATATTACTATATTGAAGGAGAAAGAGTAGCAGTCTCCTCCTGTGGGATTGAAAACTCACTCTGAAAACTCACTGGAGGATCAGCTACAGGTTGGTTACAACTGTATTGTATTCAACAACATGTTACTGTATAGAGGAGCTCTAGTGGCCAACTAGGTAAAGTATTGTGTTGCCAGCCCAAAGGCAAGTGGTTCAAATCCATCAAGTAATCCACACAAGAAAGATACACAATCTCATCCCGTGCAATTTATAGTTACTGAAAACCCAGTGGAGAGTCTGCTATGACTTGGCTTTGACTAACTGGAAATGGGTGGATTTTCTGGTGTTTTGTTAGGTGATTATTCATCTCACATAATTTGAGCATGGTACTAGGAGGGGTCAGTATGAGGAAAAAAGACATAATTTGGATGTCTATAGGTGTGTTTTAAAAGATGGAAGGTCAGCAAAAGAGAGGAAAACCCCCTATAGGATGAATTTACAGATTGACTATTAGCAATGGGCTTGAGAGATACTGAAGATGGAACAGGATAGGTTCAGATCCATTGTGCATGATGTCACTAAGAGTTGTAGGTGACTTGATGGCAGCTAGTAAAAACAACATCTGTTCC